ATGCGCATGCCATTGGTAAGCTTTCCTTCACTAATGTGGTCCAAGCACTATTGTTTCCATCATCTATGAGATATCTGTCCTTGTAGATCAATAGTATATACTACTGTGGAAATCCCACACTACCAATAGTCCATGTACGTATCAGCTAAATCGGGTACAGTACCATATGCATGTGATGGGCTAGTGCGGCATAGCATCCCTGCTTTGTGCTACAGGGAGGGATTTAGTTGGGTTCATTCTGTTGTACTTGGTAATTAGCAGGATAAGGTACGCAGCTAATGATCATTTAGGGTGTGTTTGCTTAATTGCACTGATTTTTACAAGTTGCATGGAAAAAAACGGACCAGATTGAGTAGAGCCTGGTTGAGGAGATAGAGAGCCACATACAGCATTTGCATGTTCTTTGGTCACCCGCATATGGTTTGCCTGCATTGTGAAAGCAATTCCTACCCGATGTTTGGTTGCATACATGCATTGAGATTAGGAATTAACAACTACACTGAAAAAAAGAGGTTATAGTAGAACTCATGCATGACAATACACACATGTTCGCATGAATAGCACACACACATACGCGAGCTCACCCGCCCGTTCGCATGAACAACACGCGTGCACGCGCGCGCGCACACACACGTTCACATGAACAGCACTCACACTGACAGCAATTCTAGAAGTTCGAAGCACCGTTGTACTGTAAACTAGGGAGATTATAAGGGACTAGTGATATGTATAAGTATCCGTCTAAGACCGTCGAAATGGAATACGTACAGCATGGAAGTTGTGTGAAACGGAGAGATGAGGCTACTGGCCAAACGAAAATTCAAACGATCCACCGTTCGTGAAGAATTTGTTGAAGTTCATCCAAAATAGCTTCAAATATAAACACGAAATTGAACATTTCCAGTCAATGAAATCATGAACCAATCGCATGTATGGAAGCACAATGTCCATGTGCATCTTTTTCGTATACAACTTATCTCAAATCGAAGCGCCGTTGTGTGGATTAAAAGAGACTAGTGAATGAGATTAGGAGTGAAGAGATTAGGAGGGTGATATGCATATTACAGTACACTGGTCACATGTGTATCTACTCGTCTATAATTTGTGAAACAGAAAACGCACAACATGAAAGTCGTGTCAAACAGCAAGGTGAAAATACTCCTCAAAGGAAACTTCAAATGGTCAACCATGTGTCATGAAAGACAACATATAGAGTGAACGAACTACGATCCGATCGCTTGCATGGATTCAGAAAATCGAGGTGCATTTTTCGTGTAAATCTTGGTTGTGTAGAAGGGATGGAGGATATTAAGGAGGTGATTAGAGGAAAATACATGCAAACCACGTACAAGCACACCCGCCAAAGCCACGCCCGGGTCCGACTCGCTGGAAACTGTCGATTTGGCCGTTTACAGCGATACGGACAAAATGACACTTTAAAAACCATGTCGTGCAGGCCCAACAATGTTAGCATACAACAAAACACCCGAACACGAAAAAAAGCTGCCTTCAACGGCCGGGTTGAGGTGTATGACGGCTGCCAAGCACATCATTAATGGCTAGCCGTTGGATGGAGGAAGGGAAATGGATAGTGGACGCTTCAATGGTACTCCCTCCGTTCAGAATTACTTGTCGTAGAAATGGATGTAACTAGATGTATTTTAGTTCTAGATACATCCATTTTCGAGACAAGTAATTCCGAACGGAGGGAGTACGTATTTACGCTTATAGTGACCATGATTAGATAGCATGGAAGATACAGGTTGTGTTCCATGACAAACTCCATACATGGACTCCTGGTCGTGCTGGCAATATGCTCAAAGCAATGAAGGCAAAAATATTCTAGAGAATATGCGAAGTATTACATATTTTTTTGAGAACATAGTGCAGATGTAGGCGCTTATATGTACATATTCGGATTAAATATTGAGATACATATTTGGATTCATATCTTGAACTGACACACACATTTGTGGTTATCTATCGGCAATTATCTACCAACTTATTCATAACAAAAACGTCTACCTCCAGGTCACCTCCAGGCCACTTCGGAGGCCCCACCGCCACCCAAGAAAGACCAAGCCACTGTAGTCCATCCCCTCGCTGGCGCGGGAGGAGGCCAAACAGCAGCTGACGTCTAGCAGGGCGCCCTTTTCCTCTTCCCATGCATCTCGTTCCCCACCTCCAGCCCCAACCCTAAATTGCCCCCTCTATGCCTCTGTCGACGACACACTGTTGTGCTCTGGCATGTGCGGCTTGGCAGCTTTGACGAGATCGGCGTGATGCTGCACATGTGGATACCCTGAGCGACAGCTGATCGGATTGCAGCGGAGCTATGCGTCACACGTCCCCCATGCCGCGAGGAATCTGTCTCCTAACCGATGGGATGAAGACGGTACAACCTCTGGGATGCCACACGTAGTCGCCGCCATGGCCGCCGCCTCCCCCTCACATTCCCGATCCACGTGCCGTCGGGACCTCAATGTAGCCTCGATGCGGCGCCCTCACCGCCAAGGGCAGTGGGCCTTGGCATGGTTCATGGCAACCTTCAACCGCACAATATAACGATACCATCGGGTATAACCGTAAGAGATTACCAATGTGTTTCAGACTTTTGGTGATGATCTTGGCCATTATGTTTGAAGATCAGCAAAGCTCAGAGGATAAAGAACTTCATTGGATGGGAGAAGGCAACACTTCACTACTCATCCCGCGGACGTGGTTTCATTTGCGCATGTCTACGTCCAAACCATATATGTGTGACTGTGAGCCGGATAATCGGTGTATTGCAGCAACATTCTTGGCAAGTGGGGGCAGCAACACAGGGTGACTTTGTTTTTTGTGGTGTTCTTTTGGGCATCGAGTCTCGATTTCCGGGGTGGAAACCCTAGGTTTTACTTTCATTGGTTGTACCTGGCAGTGACGGATCTCTATCTGTTTTCTTGATACAACCATTATTTGGAGTTTACTTGGACTTTCTCCGAGGTGAAAACCAACTATCTGTCCTTGGTGGTTGATCGGGCGACATCAATGCTTGTGCATTGTTCCCTTATTGTAGGTGTCGCTTTTGGAGAACCTTTTCCTCTGTACAGGTGTCTCTAATGGTGGTTCTTGTTTCTATTCCTTTGATGATTGCTTCGGCGAGGTCCTTTATCTTTTTCTTTGTTTTTCATCTGCTTGCCATAGATTTGGTCC